TTGATACAACACAATCTTATACCAGTGTTTAAGGTTCAGTGTCCACACACAGACAGGCCTTGATACAACACATCCTTATACCAGTGTTTAAGGTTCAGTGTCCACACACAGACAGGCCTTGATACAACACATCCTTATACCAGTGTTTAAGGTTCAGTGTCCACACACAGACAGGCCTTGATACAACACATTCTTATACCAGTGTTTAAGGTTCAGTGTCCACACACAGACAGGCCTTGATACAACACAATCTTATACCAGTGTTTAAGATTCAGTGTCCACACACAGGCAGGCTTGATACAACACAATCTTATACCAGTGTTTAAGATTCAGTGTCCACACACAGGCAGGCCTTGATACAACACAATCTTATACCAGTGTTTAAGATTCAGTGTCCATACACAGGCAGGCCTTGATACAACACATCCTTATACCAGTGTTTAAGATTCAGTGTCCACACACAGACAGGCTTGATACAACACATCCTTATACCAGTGTTTAAGGTTCAGTGTCCACACACAGACAGGCCTTGATACAACACAATCTTATACCAGTGTTTAAGGTTCAGTGTCCATACACAGGCAGGCCTTGATACAACACATCCTTATACCAGTGTTTAAGGTTCAGTGTCCACACACAGGCAGGCTTGATACAACACAATCTTATACCAGTGTTTAAGATTCAGTGTCCACACACAGGCAGGCCTTGATACAACACATCCTTATACCAGTGTTTAAGATTCAGTGTCCATACACAGGCAGGCTTGATACAACACAATCTTATACCAGTGTTTAAGATTCAGTGTCCACACACAGGCAGGCTTGATACAACACATCCTTATACCAGTGTTTAAGATTCAGTGTCCACACACAGACAGGCCTTGATACAACACATTCTTATACCAGTGTTTAAGGTTCAGTGTCCACACACAGGCAGGCTTGATACAACACAATCTTATACCAGTGTTTAAGATTCAGTGTCCACACACAGGCAGGCCTTGATACAACACATCCTTATACCAGTGTTTAAGATTCAGTGTCCACACACAGGCAGGCTTGATACAACACATCCTTATACCAGTGTTTAAGATTCAGTGTCCACACACAGGCAGGCTTGATACAACACATCCAGTGTTTAAGATTCAGTGTCCACACACAGGCAGGCTTGATACAACACATTCTTATACCAGTGTTTAAGGTTCAGTGTCCACACACAGGCAGGCTTGATACAACACATTCTTATACCAGTGTTTAAGGTTCAGTGTCAACACACAGACGGGCCTTGATACAACACATTCTTATACCAGTGTTTAAGATTCAGTGTCCACACACAGGCAGGCTTGATACAACACATTCTTATACCAGTGTTTAAGGTTCAGTGTCCACACACAGGCAGGCTTGATACAACACATTCTTATACCAGTGTTTAAGGTTCAGTGTCCACACACAGACAGGCCTTGATACAACACATTCCTAAAAGAGTGTTTAAGGTTCAGTGTCCACACACAGGCAGGCTTGATACAACACAATCTTATACCAGTGTTTAAGGTTCAGTGTCCACACACAGGCAGGCTTGATACAACACAATCTTATACCAGTGTATAAGATTCAGTGTCCACACACAGACAGGCTTGATACAACACAATCTTATACCAGTGTTTAAGGTTCAGTGTCCACACACAGGCAGGCTTGATACAACACAATCTTATACCAGTGTATAAGATTCAGTGTCCACACACAGACAGGCCTTGATACAACACAATCTTATACCAGTGTTTAAGGTTCAGTGTCCACACACAGGCAGGCCTTGATACAACACATTCTTATACCAGTGTTTAAGGTTCAGTGTCCACACACAGACAGGCCTTGATACAACACATTCTTATACCAGTGTTTAAGGTTCAGTGTCCACACACAGGCAGGCTTGATACAACACAATCTTATACCAGTGTTTAAGGTTCAGTGTCCACACACAGACAGGCCTTGATACAACACATTCTTATACCAGTGTTTAAGGTTCAGTGTCCACACACAGACAGGCCTTGATACAACACAATCTTATACCAGTGTTTAAGATTCAGTGTCCACACACAGGCAGGCTTGATACAACACAATCTTATACCAGTGTTTAAGGTTCAGTGTCCACACACAGACAGGCCTTGATACAACACATCCTTATACCAGTGTTTAAGGTTCAGTGTCCACACACAGACAGGCCTTGATACAACACATCCTTATACCAGTGTTTAAGGTTCAGTGTCCACACACAGACAGGCCTTGATACAACACATTCTTATACCAGTGTTTAAGGTTCAGTGTCCACACACAGACAGGCCTTGATACAACACAATCTTATACCAGTGTTTAAGATTCAGTGTCCACACACAGGCAGGCTTGATACAACACAATCTTATACCAGTGTTTAAGATTCAGTGTCCACACACAGGCAGGCCTTGATACAACACAATCTTATACCAGTGTTTAAGATTCAGTGTCCATACACAGGCAGGCCTTGATACAACACATCCTTATACCAGTGTTTAAGATTCAGTGTCCACACACAGGCAGGCTTGATACAACACAATCTTATACCAGTGTTTAAGGTTCAGTGTCCACACACAGGCAGGCTTGATACAACACATTCTTATACCAGTGTTTAAGGTTCAGTGTCCACACACAGGCAGGCTTGATACAACACATTCTTATACCAGCGTTTAAGATTCAGTGTCCATACACAGGCAGGCTTGATACAACACAATCTTATACCAGTGTTTAAGGTTCAGTGTCCACACACAGGCAGGCTTGATACAACACAATCTTATACCAGTGTTTAAGATTCAGTGTCCACACACAGACAGGCCTTGATACAACACAATCTTATACCAGTGTTTAAGATTCAGTGTCCACACACAGGCAGGCTTGATACAACACAATCTTATACCAGTGTTTAAGATTCAGTGTCCACACACAGACAGGCCTTGATACAACACAATCTTATACCAGTGTTTAAGGTTCAGTGTCAACACACAGACGGGCCTTGATACAACACATTCTTATACCAGTGTTTAAGGTTCAGTGTCCACACACAGACAGGCCTTGATACAACACAATCTTATACCAGCGTTTAAGATTCAGTGTCCACACACAGGCAGGCCTTGATACAACACATTCTTATACCAGTGTTTAAGATTCAGTGTCCACACACAGACAGGCCTTGATACAACACAATCTTATACCAGTGTTTAAGATTCAGTGTCCACACACAGGCAGGCTTGATACAACACAATCTTATACCAGTGTTTAAGATTCAGTGTCCACACACAGACAGGCCTTGATACAACACAATCTTATACCAGTGTTTAAGGTTCAGTGTCCACACACAGGCAGGCCTTGATACAACACAATCTTATACCAGTGTTTAAGATTCAGTGTCCACACACAGACAGGCCTTGATACAACACAATCTTATACCAGTGTTTAAGGTTCAGTGTCCACACACAGGCAGGCCTTGATACAACACAATCTTATACCAGTGTTTAAGATTCAGTGTCCACACACAGGCAGGCCTTGATACAACACATCCTTATACCAGTGTTTAAGGTTCAGTGTCCACACACAGACAGGCCTTGATACAACACAATCTTATACCAGTGTTTAAGATTCAGTGTCCACACACAGGCAGGCTTGATACAACACAATCTTATACCAGTGTTTAAGATTCAGTGTCCACACACAGACAGGCCTTGATACAACACAATCTTATACCAGTGTTTAAGATTCAGTGTCCACACACAGGCAGGCCTTGATACAACACAATCTTATACCAGTGTTTAAGATTCAGTGTCCACACACAGGCAGGCCTTGATACAACACAATCTTATACCAGTGTTTAAGATTCAGTGTCCACACACAGACAGGCCTTGATACAACACAATCTTATACCAGTGTTTAAGGTTCAGTGTCCACACACAGGCAGGCCTTGATACAACACAATCTTATACCAGTGTTTAAGATTCAGTGTCCACACACAGACAGGCCTTGATACAACACAATCTTATACCAGTGTTTAAGATTCAGTGTCCACACACAGGCAGGCCTTGATACAACACAATCTTATACCAGTGTTTAAGATTCAGTGTCCACACACAGACAGGCCTTGATACAACACAATCTTATACCAGTGTTTAAGGTTCAGTGTCCACACACAGGCAGGCCTTGATACAACACAATCTTATACCAGTGTTTAAGATTCAGTGTCCACACACAGACAGGCCTTGATACAACACAATCTTATACCAGTGTTTAAGATTCAGTGTCCACACACAGGCAGGCCTTGATACAACACATTCTTATACCAGTGTTTAAGATTCAGAGAAACTCTAGTCCAATAATTTGCAAATCTGGTTAAAAAGTTGCTAGTCGTGACTTCTTTCACACCTGAATGAACAATAAAGACGAGCAGCTGCAGGTGAGAATAACCAAACGATTCCTCACTGATCTGTCCTTACACTGCTTTTGGAACTTTTCTGCACTTACATATTTTGAGGCATTATCTAAATGCCTTTAAAACATAAGTTCAAAGCCTTATTTTATTAAGTAAACCAAAAAAAAGAAATTCAGCCAGATCATAAGACGTGCATGTTGTAAAACTTGGAGACAAAAACAGCTTGTCCTGGACGGTCATGCAGGTGTGTATTTCCATGCAGTTCAGTAATATCATGTCAGCTGTAAGGAGTTTAGGGGATGCAGGGCATCGATGTTTACCATTATGGCGCTAAAAAAACAAAGAAGAATAAGGGCTAATCTGGGACTCAAACCTGTGAGTGACTACACAGACAACAGACATGTGCATCTTACCCTATCATTGGCAACAACCTGTTGACATGTTTCTTCATCTTAAAAGGTCGCCACTGAGCACTAACAAAAGGCTTCCAGACCAAAATATCACATGGCATGAATTTTAAAATAAGATTCCAATCCACAGACAACAACCAAAAATAATAACGTTTGAGAGTTTACAAATATGCAAAACTAATCTGTTTATATACAACATCACAGGTTTATTACAAATCATGTAGCACAAAGTCGACACACTAGTCGATCTCCAAGCCAGCACATTGTCAGCCATAGCACAACTCTCTATGACGCCATTCTTCCTTCTCCTACAGACAGATTTGTATTATATTACAGGACCAGTATGCCATGGTTGCACACTTCATACAAGAACATCATTATTACCACAGCTCTACACCGAGACATCACCTCTGGTGACAACGTATTGTAGACCTCAATGGTGACCTTGACACAATTCAAAAATGCACGGTATCAAGAATGTGTAGTTTTTCTATAAACCAGTAGTACAACTGAAATATCTATGGCACAAAGAAAACTGTCTAGATTCTGACCAATGCCCCATCAGTTGAATGTGTAGTCAATCAGATGTATGTGTGTGAACACTTGATGCTGTATGTGTTCACTTTTGCTGTATGTGTTCACTGATGCTGTATGTGTTCACTGATGCTGTATGTGTTCACTGATGCTGTGTGTGTTCGCTGATGCTGGCTGTGTTCACTGATGCTGTGTGTGTTCACTGATGCTGTGTGTGTTCGCTGATGCTGTATGTGTTCACTGATGCTGTATGTGTTCACTGATGCTGTATGTGTTCACTGATGCTGTGTGTGTTCACTGATGCTGTATGTGTTCACTTTTGCTGTATGTGTTCACTGATGCTGTATGTGTTCACTGATGCTGTATGTGTTCACTGATGCTGTATGTGTTCACTGATGCCTGGCTGTGTCCCAGTGTGTTAAGCCATGTCCGGGTGCCAGTGTTGATCTCAGCGTAGTCTGTGTGTCACTCAAGGAAGTCGACCAGTGTAGATCTCAGCGTAGTCTGTGTGTCACTCAAGGAAGTCGACCAGTGTAGATCTCAGCGTAGTCTGTGTGTCACTCAAGGAAGTCGACCACCTCAGCCAGTTCCCGCTGCCGTGCCTGTTTGTGAGCCCAGCGAGCCTCAGCCAGCTCCGGGGAAACTTTCCACTTCTCATGAAAGATCTGACAACCACATCCTGGACACTTCTTGCCTCCTTCAAAAACAGAAAACAAACTTTGTCGTGTATCCGTGATAGGACTTTACTCCATCCATAGCAAATCTATGTCATTGCAGCTTCTACTGCGAAAAGAGTTGTAATTTATTTGGGAGAAGCATACTGATTTTTTTAACTTGTCAGAAAAGTGACTTTTCTTATTGGTATAATAAATAGAAGAACTTAACACTAAATATAACAACCTAGGTTTGTAAACCAATATTTCTCTCACCTACGTCTTGACTAAAACAGAGGAACTGAAACTGTTTCGGTATGTGGTATTAGGATGGACATAGTTTAACATAGACTTGTAACTCAGTCAGTCCTGTCAAACATTGGTGAAAGTAGGACGTCAGTCTTCAGTTGGAAAAAAGAGGGCTACCAAGGTGTAAGGACTTGAATATTTGTTCTTGAAGCACATAAAATATATGACCTCACACGGAATCACTCAAGCACTTTCAGGACTTTTGATGCTATTGATAGAAGAGTTGCTTCCCTTTGACCAATTCTGGGACACGACATTTCAAATACTAAATAATAATTTAAATCTTAACAAAGCATTTAATTCCAAATCGTTCAGGGCATGTATTATTCGTTTCGAAACATGTTAGGTAATATCTCCAGCTAGATATCTCCCAGGTGTGTGGTACTTAAGCCTGGTGTCCAAGTGTGACATATGTCACTGATCTCGTGCAGTCGGACACTGACCTATGAAAGGCGGAGTCTTCATGTAGGTGTTGAGACAGCCGGTGTGAAACAGGTGGCCGCAGTACACACGCTCCAGTCTCTTCTTCGGCTCTCGAGTTGGGGCCTGAAAGAAACAGTCACGGAGATCCTTGTAGTCCCCGTACAACACTAAAACCTACTGACTCTACTGTCAAGTTCTGGCCACAGTTGTGTGGCTGATGAGAGAGTCTATACAAGTTAAGCACTGGTGATACAGCCATGCCATATTCCCTTGTCTTACATGTAGCATTACTACAGCCATATCACCTCTGACCAGTGAGGGAGGCTATTCTGACCAGTGAGTAGGCTATTCTGACCAGTGAGTAGGCTATTCTGACCAGTGAGTAGGCTATTCTGACCAGTGAGTAGGCTATTCTGACCAGTGAGGGAGGCTATTCTGAGCAGTGAGGGAGGCTATTCTGACCAGGGAGGGAGGCTATTCTGACCAGTGAGGGAGGCTATTCTGACCAGTGAGGGAGGCTATTCTGACCAGTGAGGGAGGCTATTCTGACCAGGGAGGGAGGCTATTCTGACCAGTGAGGGAGGCTATTCTGACCAGTGAGGGAGGCTATTCCGACAGGACAGAGAGACTGTCTCACCTCAGGGTCCTCGGACAAGACATTGTCCCTGCACAGCTGACAGGCCTCCTTGGGGTAGCGCTTGCAGCAGTCTCGAATGAGGAACTCACACAAAGGACGAAGTGATGGCTTGGGCTGGAAGGGAGGGTCTCTGGGACCACAGGTTACACAAACATTAGTGCAGCTCACCATGGCAACCACTGCTGGATTCACTGTCTAAATAGGGCATCAACTATGTAAGAGAGGCCTACAAATTTCAATTCATACAAGTTATTTAATTACCTTTTGAGGATAATTAACTTGACAACAAAGCATCGGTTGTGTGAAAATGAGCAAATAAGAAAGTGTCAAAGTTACACTTAGACTATACAGTACTTGAGGATCTGTTTCATAACTTAATTATTTTTTCCACAACTTTTCAGCAACAACACATACATGATAACACTTGTTTTCCTTATAATCAATTGTTTGTTCTTTCAGGGTAGAATGTCTCACTCACTTGGGTTTTCTCTTGAGCGGAGGTTGGACACACTGTCGGGAAACTTCAATGGCTTGTGCCTGGAAAAATGTCTTTAATAGTGCTGGAAAGTTGCAGTCCTCAATCTCACATCTGAAACAAAACTTCCTTCATTAGTCAAGCACTATTATATACCTCTTCTCAACCAGCTAACTGGAATGTCAAGGTCAGATTTTATGGCCCTTCACTATGTAAAAGATTATTTGAGGCTGTAATAGTTATCTCCCTTGGACTGTTGACACTATGGTGTATCTAGTCAGTGTACCAAACATTATATTTGTCAAGACACATGACATTATCAAATTAACATTTGCCATGCAATGCACACACAAATTGGGGCATTTTAGATCATGAAGTATTCTTGGAACACCAACAAATAAACAGCCAAGATAATCAACAATGTAACAATTTTGATTATTTCAGCAATGCCAGTAAACCAACCCCCTAAAATATTTCTTAGAATATGATTTATTAAAGTTACAAAAACAATTCTGTTTCCCTACTACCAACTTCACCAACTACAGCATTGGTAGATACTTTCTTACTAACAAATAAATATTGTTTAAAGAGAAATCTCTGAATCTTTTCAATATTTGCAAGTGTAAGCTCATATTTCCGAACCATATAACAATATGGAAGCTTTACAGTCACATTTTGTAGATGCTACTTTAAGAGAAATATTTGGTTACTCCTTCAATGAGGTAAGAACAGGAAATGAACCTTTTCTAGCTTGTAGTGCTAATGTTTCACACGCTTTAGACCAAACTAATAGGTCATGAACTCAGTGTTCAAAATAGGTGTCTGACTGTAGGCCCGTGGCAGTTGGATCTTGTGTCGGGCCCATAGTTAAGGCCTGCAGTAAATTTATGTGTTGATTTATTTATCACCATAAACTGTAGTTTTTAAGATGAGTCTCTAAGAGTTCAGTCAGGGCCTGCAGCTTCTAAAGTCTGTGGGTCCTGATTGCCGCCAGATATTTTTTTTATATTTCAAACAAGGTATCAACTGAAATATGACTATCAATCTTAAAATAGAAAGTAAGCATTCATTCCTCCCTACTTGTGAGCTGGGCACAGTTTCCGTTATATCACAGCTGGTGACTCTGGAAGGAGAGACTGATCTGATAGATGCTGACAACTTTGGTGAAACCCATGAGCATGGATAGTTCCAGCAGACAAAGGGTGAAAACTGGGACAATTTCCGCCTCCAGCCCACGACCAACAGTTCCTTTATAAGAGAGTTACAGTATTCATCCTACTACACTATAAGTTGTCAAGTGATCTCGAGGGGTACATGGTGTGATGGTCCTTGTGTGTGAGCCTACATACAACAGTAATTGTGGTGTCTTTAGTTGCTGTATACAGTGTCATATTAGGTCAGCAGAAAAACATTGGCCGGCATATGGTCTCATCTACGGTCAGTAACAACCAGCTTGGACTTTTCCTGACAGTGTACAGGCTCATATGAGGTCAGTAGCTCTGCTCTCTGATTGGTCAATCTCGCTTTGTGGCATTACATCACACCAAATGCCACGGGAGATCAGTTGACAACAAATTTACCTTACCGACATTCATGCCTACATTACGCAACAATCGCATATCAACAGCTTCACTGGGTTAGATTGGTTGGTTGGTTTGTTGATTAACGCCGCACTCAGCAATATTCCAGCTATATGACGGTGATCTGTAAATAATCAAGTCTGGACCAGACAATCTAGTGATTGACATCATGAGCATGGATCCACACAATTGGGATTGATGACATGCATCAAACCAAGTCAGCGAGCCTGACCACCCAAACCCGTTAATCGCCTCTTATGACAAGCATAGTTGCCTTTTATGGTAAGCATGGGATGCTGAAGACCTCTTCACGGGTCCCCTGGGTAAGAAAAACTCGCGGACGAGGGAAATGAACAGAGTTACATGCATTCGGATAAACACTGGTTCATTACAGAAACTGAACGATACATATGGATAAAAGCAAGTTACCTTAGATGTGTTCTAATGCATTTCTCAGCAGGCTCCATGACATTTGTCCTCCGCCTGTGAGTGGGCTAGATGGACTACAATTGCCTGCTCCCTAACCAGTCAGAAGCAAATATTTCAATCTAAGCAGACCATATATCGAGGGACAGGCCTCTGGGCAAGTTGGAGACTGATCACTGCTGCTGGAGACCAAGCGGCACTCTCACACGAGAGATTCAAAGATTTACATGCAAGATTTTCGCAAATCAGCTAGTGATATTTCACAATTTTCACAATTTCATTGACCAAGTTTGTTATGGATCATATGTTTGTTGGCCTGAAGCGACACGGTGTAGGTTTTGACTGCACTTGGCTAAATACTCAAAATGACAGTGTAATGTCACCGTGTGGGCTGGAGGGGAAGCAAACAGAATTAACTCTCAGCATTCAAGCACTGTGTAAGATTGTTTACAAGACTACAGAAGTCCTCAGATAAGAGCATCTGTGCATGTGTCGTGCATCTCGACCGCTGCCGGGAGAAAAGCAGCAGGGCGTGTCAATGTATCATTACACTCATGGGCGCGGCAGTGATCGTTAATAATAATCTACTGCTTGTCCCTCGGTATATGGTCTCTGATGTAAGTAAGGTAAGATAAAGTTGACTGACTCACTGGACTTGGTGAAAGGGGTAGTCATCCGGCACGGTTATTCGGAGATTCATGAAATAGCTCCCCTGCTTCACTTTTATCACAATTTGTGAAGTCTTTTGTTTTAAAATAACTTTATCATCGCCGGACACGAGATTGCGTTTGATGTATGAGATCTCCTCGTTACACACACACAGCGGGTTTTCCTGCAGGAACGTTTTCACAAACATCACCATCAACACCACCTGAAACAGGGCCGAGATTGCAGGTCAGTTACATAGGCTGTTCAAATAGACACACGACTTCACATGACTTCACATGACTTCACATCTAAACACCCTTGTTCAAAGAGAGATTGTCTCTTAATTTTATAGATATATTTATATCACCATACACAGTTCATAGGACTGCCTGATTCTGTTGCACAAGCGTTTCAAACATCATGGGATATTTTCTGTGATATTAGTTCGGAGACAACTCCTGGGGGGTCTAGATTAGCTGAAAACTTGACAACCATAATTTTCCACTTATATGTAACACTGATCAGGAACCAAACAAAAGTTAGACCTTTATATTTTGGTAATGTAATGTCACCAGTGCCATGAGCAACTCTCGCCCACCCACATCCAGAAACACCCAACACCCACCAACACACTCCCACATACCCACACAGACAACCCCTGTCATACATACACCCACAGACACATGCACACGCACACACACTCGCACACGGAGACACACCCATTCACACACTCACAGACACAGACCCTCACACCCCCATCCCTCTGCTCCCCTGTGACAGGTCACTGCTCCCCTACCTGTCTCTGGCCCACATGTTTGCGATCCTCCTCGTCACACATCTTACACACCACCACCCCTCTCCTCCCCTGTGACAGGTCACTGCTCATCTACCTGTCTCTGGCCCACATGTTTGCGATCCTCCTCGTCACACATCTTACACACCACCACCCCTCTCCTCCCCTGTGACAGGTCACTGCTACACTACCTGTCTCTGGCCCACATGTTTGCGAGCCTCCTTGTCACACATCTTACACACCACCACCCCTCTGCTCCCCTGTGACAGGTCACTGCTCCCCTACCTGTCTCTGGCCCACATGTTTGCGATCCTCCTCATCACACATCTTACACACCACCACCCCTCTCCTCCCCTGTGACAGGGCACTGCTCCCCTACCTGTCTCTGGCCCACATGTTTGCGATCCTCCTCGTCACACATCTTACACACCACCACCCCTCTCCTCCCCAGTGACAGGTCACTGCTCCCCTACCTGTCTCTGGCCCACATGTTTGCGATCCTCCTCGTCACACATCTTACACACCACCACCCCTCTCCTCCCGTGTGACAGGTCACTGCTCCCCTACCTGTCTCTGGCCCACATGTTTGCGAGCCTCCTCGTCACACATCTTACACACCACCACCCCTCTCCTCCCCTGTGACAGGTCACTGCTCCCCTACCTGTCTCTGGCCCACATGTTTGCGAGCCTCCTCATCACACATCTTACACACCACCACCCCTCTCCTCCCCTGTGACAGGGCACTGCTACACTACCTGTCTCTGGCCCACATGTTTGCGAGCCTCCTCGTCACACATCTTACACACCACCACCCCTCTCCTCCCCTGTGACAGGTCACTGCTCCCCTACCTGTCTCTGGCCCACATGTTTGCGAGCCTCCTCGTCACACATCTTACACAGGCCGTCCAGCAGCTTGAAGGACAGACTCTTGCTCTTGAGCTCCACCACGATGGGCTGGTGTGGGTAGTTCTCCGGGAACATCAGATGAATGGTCACTTGTTTCTGCTCCGTCACACTGCAACACAGCACATACAGTGTCCTACATTCAGTGTCCAGTCAGAATGATGTCAAAATCTTTGAGAATGAAAAACTTGATAGATTGCATTAGTCATTCTGAACACACTTCTCAAAGGTCTTCACATACCTAAAAGTTGAAAACTTTGACCATCTCTCAGCCTTCACACATTTCATCCTCTTATAAGGACACCCCAGACTCATCCCCCTTTACTTACAATACAGATTGTCGTCCTCCAATACTTACAAAACAGCCACCCTGACCAGTTCCCGGACAGCAGCCTCGAGTTTGACTCCCTCGATGCCCACCAGCCTCTGTCTGACCTGGGCCAGCTCTGCGTCTATCACCTGGGTTGTGCCCCCTGCCATGTCAGTGTCGCGGCAGCTACACACTGCTAGTGTTATCTTGTAATCATCAGGGAGTGTGGTCTACAAACAAGTTATTTCATGTTAATACTGGACTACACAGCATATCTTTAACACTTGTCTTAATGAGCGAAATTATTATAGGAAATAGGATATACATAATTCACTAGTTCTATCCAAAAGCGGGGTTCAACAATTCTATTAAAAATATCCTAAGCTAGTTAATTTTCAAATCTGTTCAGGCACATTTCTGAAAATGAAATCCCTGATGTCAAGGCCAACTGCTTCTGTTTGTTTGTTTCTTTCTTTATATTCTGTTAAATGCAGCACACAGCAACATTCCAGCTACATGACGGTGGTCTGTAATGAAGTTTGGACCAGATAACCCAGTGATTAGCAACATGCGCATCGATTCACACATTTGGAATAGATAACATGCACTCAACCACCCAATCCATTTAGTTGCTTCTTATGATAAGCATTGCTTGCTGAGAGGAATGTTACTACCAAGAATCCCCCTAGTTTGTGTCCTAATGTATTTCCTACAACTAGTTCAAACAAAGGATAAAGCTGGCATGTGTGAGTATTACATTTACAGTGAGTGAGTGAGTTGGGTTAACACTGCTTTTAACAGTATTCCAGTCATATTACAGCGTGTCAACTTAATGTGGGAGGAAAGCCCAAAGTGATGCAGGTCGCGGACGGTTACCACTTTCGTGAATCCCACGAGCACAGGTATGGTGCTGACAAACTTAGAAACTCGAACCCACAATGAAAGGTTTCTGGTGTGCCCAAGGGATGCAACTACATACACAGTCATATGAGACAGTTATGAAAAGAGCCGCTTGTAGGGAGAAGACTGTATAATGCCTGAAGAAGAATGCATCCCTCATAAGTAACTGTTTAATAGAGTTTCAGGAATCCATCCAAGAGCCAGGCACTCAGTGTAAAGAACTTCACCTCTCGGGACGCGGCCAGACCCCAGCATGCTAAGGGCCACTACAGGAGGGAAATACACCCAATTATTTGACCCCTCATACCCCTTGTACCACCCCTTGTACCACCCTTTGTACCTCCCCTCGTACCACTCCTTGTCCCTTCCCTTGTACCACCCCTTGTACCTCCCCTTGTACCACCCATTGTACCTCCCCTTGTACCACCCCTTGTACCTCCCCTTGTACCTCCCCTTGTATCACCCCTCGTACCACCCCTCGTACCACTCCTCGTACCACCCCTCATACCTCCCCTCGTACCACTCTTCGTACCACTCCTTGTACCACCCCTTGTACCACCCCTCGTACCTCCCCTCGTACCTCCCCTTGTACCACCCCTTGTACTTTCCCTTGTACCACCCCTCGTACCTCCCCTCGTACCTTCCCTTGTACCTCCCCTCGTACCACCCCTTGTACCTCCCCTTGTACCACCCCTTGTACCCTCCCTTGTACCCCCCCTTGTACCTTCCCTTGTACCACCCCTTGTACCACCCCTCGTACCTCCCCTTGTACCTTCCCTTGTACCACCCCTCGTACCACCCCTCGTACCTCCCCTTGTACCACCCCTTGTACCTCCCCTCGTACCACTCCTCGTACCTCCCCTTGTACCTCCCCTCGTACCACTCCTTGTACCTCCCCTCGTACCACTCCTTGTACCTCCCCTTGTACCACCCCTCGTACCACTCCTCGTACCTCCCCTTGTACCTCCCCTTGTACCACCCCTTGTACCTCCCCTCATAACACTCCTTGTACCTCCCCTTGTACCGCCCCTCGTACCTCCCCTCGTACCACTCCTTGTACCTCCCCTTGTACCTCCCCTCGTACCACCCCTCGTACCTCCCCTTGTGTCACCCCTTGTCCCACCTCTTGTACCTCCCCTTGTACCTCCCCTTGTACCTCCCCTTGTACCTTCCCTTGCCCCACCCCTGTACCTACCCTTGTACCACCCCTTGTACCACCCCTTGTACCTTCCCTTGTACCACCCCTCGTACCACCCCTCATACCTCCCCTTGTACCACCCCTCGTACCACTCCTTGTGTCACCCCTTGTCCCACCTCTTGTACCTCCCCTTGTACCGCTCCTTGTACCACCCCTCGTACCTCCCCTTGTCCCACCTCTTGTACCGCCCCTCGTACCACTCCTTGTACCACCCCTCGTACCTCCCCTTGTGTCACCCCTTGTCCCACCTCTTGTACCTCCCCTCGTACCACTCCTTGTACCACCCCTCGTACCTCCCCTTGTGTCACCCCTTGTCCCACCTCTTGTACCTCCCCTTGTACCACCCCTCGTACCTCCCCTCGTACCTCCCCTTGAGTCACCCCTTGTCCCACCTCTTGTACCACCCCTTGTACCTCCCCTTGTTCCACCCCTCGTACCACTCCTTGTACCACCCCTCATACCTCCCCTCGTACCTTCCATTGTACCACCCATTGTACCATGGCTATATCAACCCAAGGTACAGTGGTACTAAGCACAAGAATCGAACCTTGCAGCTTCACATACATTTCCTTCAGACACATGATCATGGTGCCGGTGTATTGTAGAGGAACGGTTATGAGACATTTCCCTTTGTGACACACTGCGGCCCACACTGATCATATACACCTCCTTCAGTTACGGAATGCTTATACTTCTTTAGAAATGGAAGCACAATATAACAGCTTTACCACATTTCAACTACAATACACAAAATATGAAAAATTCAATCTATTACACATACGAGAATCGTCTGTAACAAATTGGAACAAAAATCCTATCACGGAAACAAAATCAATTTACAATTCAACAAAAACAACAACAAATATCGCAGTCAGGAAAATCTGTCCAAAAGACCTTCAAAGATAATTAACCATTATTAGAAATCTCTAATGTACAAATTCCAGTTGGCTAAAACTGCCATCAAGTAGCACCTGATCAGCTTCCCAGGGGATCCAAGGGGGGATAACTCTAATCAACGACCTTCTCTATCAACTTCATCTATCTAAACATGACCTTAATCCCCAGTGTGGGAACATGCTAGGGGTAATATGTAGATCTATTAGAGATTAATTACCTCCCCTGGCCTACAGTGGTAAACTCAGCTGCCCTTTTGACGTCACATGGGCTCGGCCAGATACCATCATCAGCCATTGCATCATCATTGCTGGGAGCAATACAATCTATCAAAACTCATCCAATCCTGAATGGCTTCTGCAGTGACACTTAACCCATCAACAGTCATCTATGAATCTTTTAGCAGTCAAAAAGGCCCTGAAACAAGTTTAGCTAGCTAATATTGAAAGATCGGGAGCCGATATGATCCCAAGTCTGTGTCAAACTGGTTATGGTTATGTAACAGAAATAGGTTGTTGACAATGGGCTGATTTAGAGGAAGACTGAAGCCATCTTTGATGTGTCATCAGTATTGATAACAGAAAGAAATCTGATTTAAAAACCATTAGTGTCATCAACTGATTGACGCGGAATGTCGGTATGGAGAAGACTTAATTTAGTGTAAGGAAATACAAAGTGTTCAAAGGTATGGCTTTAATTGATGGGCCGTTTCACAGTGTCCCCACTTAGTTTACTCGTCATCCATCAATGTGAATTGTGTCTTTTATAGCTATGCATATATCAAGCTTACTGATGCAAATTTTATATATTTGATGTTATTTATTTCATAATATGACTCCATTCATAAATTTTCACATTTTGATAGTGTCGAGTTCTGTAAAGTGTTAGATTTCTTAATTTTTTTAATAAAATATCATTCCTTTTAGCTTATGATTGTTTAAACAAGTAGTTTTTTACAACAATTACATAAATTTTCATAAAACATAACAAAGTCACTAAATTAACATTTAAAAATCATTTTGTTAAATTTAAAAACAAAATCTACATCTTGCCTTACATTTGAACCTATAAAAGTGTCAAGAAAATTCGAATGAGCTTAAAACAGAGGTGCCAAAATCCTACACCTCCTTAAATCCCTTGGAACAGATTATCCCCCTTTAATCCCTTCCTACCAGATCAAGTGGGCCACCTTGCCCCTTAATGAGTGACTGCATCAGGTAAAACAAAAGCTTAGAGGATTTAGTTTATTTCTTAACAGGTGTGGCTGAGGACACAAAACAGCCCTTCATCAGTTGTAGAGAATGCTACTTGATTTCTCCACCATTGCAATTAAGAAGCTATTTTGACATGTTTACCTTGGCGGAGTGCTGCTAACTTAATTACCTTACACCTGATTATGCCAGTGTCTATCTTATGGTCTTCATGCTAATTACAGGTATAAAATTGTCACCTGGGCAAGGTGTGAATTGATAGCAGGTGACGACACAAGACATTGTCTACCTTCTGGATAAAACAAAGAATTATGATGCAATCAACACTGACTGGTGTGAGATAGCAACTTATCCATGTGCTCAGCCTAATAAAATACCTATCAGCTATAATCAAACATGCTAATTTTGTTTGTACAATTATAATAAATTGCAATAATATGCAAATTGTTTTATTAGGTACAATTAGTATTTTAACCACATTTGTCAAGTTTTTACATAAACAAAAACATGTCATAAATAAAAAGTATATCTAAATAGCCTTAAGTGATTTACAATTACATGTGTGTTCAATGTCTTAACCCTAGCAGTTGTAACATCATTTACCTTCTACAGTGAGTAGTGTATTATTGTCTGATGAGTAAACAGAAAACATCCCCATTTACCCTGTAGTCAAGTAATATTATTCTTCTATGTTTCAGTCAGAGTCATGATTTGACAGACCTTCAGTGTTCAACATCTCTGCATCAATATTGACATGGAACTGTACGGTTCTACATCCCTTGCATCAATATCTTTACCATGTTTACTCTTCTCAAATCAGTCTACTGCTTCCTTAGAAACAAAAGCATTGATGAACAGTTGCTTCAATCTGTGTGAGGTGTCTCCCTACACCAACAAGTCATTATTTTCAGTCGGATCACTTGAGCCCAAAAGGCATAATTAACATAGAACTTATTTGTAATAAGGTACAAATGATAAATATTTTGTTTTTCATGTTTTTAAACTATATAATCCCTTTTTAATTACTTTTATATTATCATGGCTTTTTCCATGCACATAAAACATAATTTCAATGTACATAATGGGTTTTGTGTGACATTTTTGTCTAAACTGTTGTCAAATATGTTCTGCTTCTGAATTAAAGTTTGTAAAAAGAAAATGCAAATTCTTATGAAGTTTCTAGCTTTTTATTATTATCGTGTATATCCATATTCATTTATGTGCAAAAAGTAGGGATTCTGTCACTCCTGGGATCCCTTACTACTTGGTAGGGTATCTATCCCCTTCTGTAACCATTATTTTTATGCATAATAAAAAATTTAATTACCAAAATATATAATTTCAATGTACTTTGAAAAACAGGGCAACATGAATGATTAGTCTTGGGGTATTGTTACAGTTAACTAACTGAAACGTCTTGTGATCTAAATAAACTATACCTGCACCCATTTCATTCATGATCTTTGTATTTTAATTTCATTCAACAGAAACAAATTTAACACCTCATTAAATGTGGAAAAACAAAGTGAACGAGTCTTTCACAGATGGTCCCTGGTAAATATTTCTACAAACGGGATATGTCACTTATGTCTCTATATAAAAGGACACATGTCAATCTTGACTCAAGTTATCCAATCAAGCCTCCCATCAATAGGTACCGATAAATATTTCTTCTCTTTCAATACAGCACAGAAACACAAAGATAACAGCAATTGTGCCACAAATTGACTGCCTTTGAGGCATGTAAATAAAGATAAATATTTATCTTTCGTCTGAAAAAGCTTGTTACTTCATTAACGAAAACTCGTTAACTACAGGTAAAACAAACCATAGCTGTCATTGCATCTTGGTGCTAAAAGAAGACGTCCCTGAATGGCAGTGTAAGCCTGTTGTATTTGGTCAATGAAGCATGACTACATTGTTGTAAATCTATTAGCACCACAGACTGTGTCGGTCTGTGACGAGGCAATCACCTGGGACACCTCGCACACAACTGTTAGCATCTAAGTCTTTATCCAGTTCCTAGTGCTTAGTTTCTGCTTCAACACAACAGAAGTGTATTTGTAGAGATTTGGGCTACAAGCCCCTCCTCTTACACTTATCAAACTTAAAAACATATATAAATGGTGGAGAGGAGATCAATAAAACATACTTCTTATGATAAACATGTTTTTATATATGTTGCGATGTACATAATCACTGTTTTACTGTTACAGCTAGGTAACTGGTACAATTTAAAATAACAAGGATTTTTCCAGTACTAATATTTAGCAATATATTTATTTTTTTACATTTTGGACATATTTTAAAAAATGGTATTCATCTTCAATGTTAGAAATCTGACAAAATTCACAATATCTTGAATCTCTATCGATATTTGTGTACCTTCCAGTTTCAATTTTCAGCTTAAGGGAAGATACTCTAATCATAGCAAAATATTTTTTTAACAAACTATATGCAACTTCTGATGACCATTTAGAACCACCAAGCCAAGTGTGTTTCAGTTCATAAATGTCATGTTTAGTGAGTGAGTATGTTGGTTTTAATGCCGCTTTTAACAGTATTACTGTTATATCGTGGCTTGCCAGCTTAATGTAGGAAGAAAGTCCAAAGTGATGCAGGTCTCAGATGTTTACCACTTCAGTGAAATCCATGAGCACGGGTATGGTGCTGAAAAACCTAGAAACATAATCAGGGCAAAACGGGAATCGAACCTACAATCATAGGTTTCTGGCGTGCCCAAGGGACACAACTCTGCAAAGCGAATTGTGGCACCTTAGACGACTGGGCAAACTGTGCCCCATCATATTTAGGAATAAAGAATATTGTACCATGCAAGCCTTTGACAAATTTGTTATTCCTAACATTCATAAGATATTTACGATGCATATATCACAAACGTAATAATGTCTTATTTATATATAATGTGAATCATGAAAGAATCAAAGTTTTAGACAAACTTTCTTTCACTAAAGCAGGGCTTGATTTAAGGAATTGATTTAACTTGCACCATGTGCATGTTGACATAAAACCCAGTTGCACCAGGAAAAAACAGGTTGCACACTGGTCCCATACATTTATCACAGTTGAAACAATAGACATGATTGATGCATAAACTTGTCTAAATAAACAAAATCTCAGATCTCATTTTGATTATGGCAAGCCCCAAAAAGCGTGACAAATTATACATAACACAAGGATTAGTGATATACTGTATTCCACGTAATAAGCGCCCACGGCAATATTTGCTAATATATTGGCTAGTGAACAATCCCAATTAGAACCCCTTCCGATTGATCAATGTACACAAGACTTATTCATTCGTGTATAATACAGTGAGTGAGTGAGTGAGTACGGTTTTACGCCGCTTTTAGCAATATTCCAGCAATATCACGGCGGGGGACACCAGAAATGGGCTTCACACATTGTACCCATGTCGGGATTCGAACCCGGGTCTTCGGCGTGACGAGCGAACGCTTTAACCACTAGGCTACCCGACTGCCCCTGTGTATAATACATGTGTTATATGCATCCTTAATTATGGGAAATTAAATCCTGGAAAAATACATCTGTCGTATATAAATATTTCAGGCTGTCAGCATAAACCACGAAATTTACGATCTTTCAACTCTGTTTTACCAAAATAATATTCTAATAAGAGCAGCATAAGTTGCTATAGTCCAATTCTAACCCTGAAAAACTATAGGCAGCTGATGGGTGTAAACTACTTGGTACCATTAAGCAAAGGTTATTGAGCAACACCGCTTCACATCGATGTATAGAGCTTTCTGAAAGTAAGATCTTTGAGTGGCATTTAGAAGCTGGATGTGAAACTTATGACAAGATGGTATGGATGATCATCTCCATTATTGTTTTTGTAGTGACACTTCGGTGTACATTGTAACACTGTTATCAAGCTCGACACAGTTACACTTCGGTGTACATTGTAACACTGTTATCAAGCTCAACACAGTGACACTTCGGTGTACATTGTAACACTGTTATCAAGCTCGACACAGTGACACTTGACTGAGCTGAATCATTTTTCACACACAAGATCCCCAAATGTGCAAAAATTATAAGCAAGGCATATTTCTGGAGTTATGCTTGTGTCTAAAATATCGTTTTCTTATCAAGAGAACCATTAACCAAAGGAATCGGAAGTGCACTAAAGTGAATATTTAATCTCAACAATATTGTCATTCGTTTGTTGGTTATATATTATACATAATTATGTCGCGCAATAGATTTGACAACATCACGTGTTAATGGTACCAAATAAAAGTTGTCTGTATATGTCTACATAACCCCCACTGCTCCTAATCAGTATCTAACGTAGCCGTCTTTTCCAGACTGAAATGTTCAGACATTCTTGAGTAGGCCTAACATTTTTGACAGTTTCTCTGTTTACTGGATGTGTGTTGTCGTTTCCCATGATTATTGTCGTGAATGTATTTAATCACGAATGTGAGTAGGATCACTAATGTATGGCAAATGGACGTTTTTCACCAAAGAAAATCTAAAACATACAAAGTTTTTACCTTATACCAAGTTTCACAATATCACAAACACGGTGCAAAACTCACTCGTGATAATCCGCTTACACATTTCTATGACGACGTATTTTGTGTATGTAAATAAATGTGTGAGGAGCAAATTATTAATAATAAGTATATTAGCGGTATATAAGGGCCCTTTAGATGTCCTGTATGATATTTGTTATAAAAATAAAAACGAACCAATATATTTATATATCCTTGAGAACATCATGTCAAAAAGGGGAGGCTATTCACACAAAATAAGCTACTAGCATACCACAAGTAAATGTCTATGACCAGATTTACATTAGCCAGTGACCATCTGATATCCTGATCTTCTCGTGTAACTTTCGACGTGAAAAAAATTCTCCGAAATGTGATATCATGTAAATACTTTCAAAAGTTAAAGGAAAATGCAGATACATATGATTTTAAGGAGGTGGGTTTTTTTAATTCACGCAGTTATACTTTATTAAGTGTCACGTTTTACACAAATGAATAAAAAGGCCATAAAACATAAGGTTTCCTACGCGTGAAGGAACTCACATAAGACAATAGTAATATCAATGTAATATCTATAGTAAGATATTCAAGTGAGCTTGAATGTACATGAACTCGCTACAGTTGCGCCATTTACCGGCTTGGTGAAAATCTTATTGTGGAATTTTCTCAAGTAACTGTATTTTCTAAACACCATTACATTCATGAAGTGAGGAGATTAACTTTTGATCAGCAATTTACATCTATTTTGTCAAGTTTGACTGACTGTTAATCCCATCTTTTCTTTAACATTCTTCACAACGATCAATAGTTTAGCCGCTCGTTCAATCTTAAGTACTTTACTACATGGAAACTTTGACCATCGGCGAAAAGATCTAAACAAAGAGATGATCGCATGCTTGCTAAGTAAAGATAAGAACGAAATAAAATGCATCACCTTTTTGCAGATTCCTTTATCTGCACAAAACACGGCGGAAATCTGGTGTCTAAAGCCTTTGTAGGTATCCCTAAGCAGATTACCTGCCCTTCATATCTACATGGCGGCTACTTCAAAGAGCGCTTCTCTGATTTTATCTATCTTCATACAAAGCCATAATCACCCATTTATTTACCCAGAGGAGTTAAGTGCCGATCCTGGTCAGCAGATGTTCGGTCGTAGGGGTTGGACAGACGGACTGGGGTCAAGTTGAAATAAAACACGAACACTGACCTGAGAAACGGACAATTGCGTAATGACTATCTGACTGTTCTTTGACAAATGCTATGACGTGTTGTGTACTTATGAAATGTACATGTTTGAAGAAGAGTGTATCTGGGGAAACGAGTCCATCAAAAGCACCGTAGAGGTCATGTAAGCTTAGGGAGATGATTATCGTTGTGAGAAAGGGAATATAAATAAATATCAGTGATTGCTATATAAGTACTTCAATGCGTGTGATGTTCAGATAATGTATATAAGTATACGTCTTCCTATATACACATATATAAGTGTTCGCGCACACATGTGTAATATAAACGAGGCGGAGGGATACACGGAAAGAAGAATCGATAGAAAGAAAGAATAAGAGAAAAAAGAGAATTATATAGAGAGGCTTGGACAAAAGAAGAAGGTGTAACACATTGCAATTCCACATGTCTACTGGATACACAAGACAAAAGGTGTATGATATTATACAAATATACAAACATACAGTATATACATAAGTCTTTGAACGACTTTTAGAAGTGATACACATAAGCAAGATAATTATGCCAATTTCTTTATTATGAGGAACACAACGTTGTGTTTCTCATTATAAAGAAGTAAACATCTATTTTTCTTCCTAATATAAACATTTAATTATTTTCTTCTTGCGTAACATGTATTATGTATGGATTTTGGGCTCTCTGAAAAGTGTAAATTGTAAATTTGCCATTAAAAATATATTTAATTACTTCAAAGTTGACAAATAGACAAAAGAGCTATTTGGCAGCTTCTGGCATCACGATCGATGTCTGAATGATGAATATCTTAAAGGGGAGCATTTCACCTACCAATAAAGTTATAATGTATAAATAAAAATGACGTCATACATGGCCCTGAAATAATACCTTCTATATTAGCTCCCCATGTGGAAGAAAGATGTAACAATCCACAGTTAAAACTACTTGACCACAGATTAACTTGACAGGTTTGCTCAAATCTATGTAAATTGTCGATTAGTTTGAGTAATACGCGTCTATATCACGGAGACAAGTAATCATTTTCTTGTCTCAGTTTTTATGAAATCCGAGTAGTTGTTTTAATGTCGCGACGCCGACCCACGTAACGGTCGTGTGCCTCATGTATACCTTGGAATGCAAATGAGTATATTTAAATTTACATCTGTTTGTCCAACCCACTCTCCAGAGCATATCGTGTGTACATACGCTGAGTCTTCTCAGTAAATTGCACATCACTAACATTATGGGTCTCATTCATAGTATAGCTGTAATAATTAACGTATGAGTAATTTTATGGAATTTCAAGAGGCGAGTGAAAATGACACCGATTTGTTTCATAATGCACATTATCTTACCAAACGCAGTGTTATATATAAATAGTGCACATACACTATAAACTGCCAGGCAAAAAGCAAGTATACACTTGAAAAATTGGATTTGACAATAAAATATAAACGCTAGCCAAACGTTACTGGGCTGAAAATAGTCACCGAAACACTGCAAACGTATAAGGTCCTAGACTCAACCAATTTATGATACCGGTATCAAAATATCTCCATCGAATAACAATTTTGTTTGTTTTCATTTTAGTCACAAAATTATGGGTGTAAACTTTCTTGTACCCGGATGTATAGTTATGGAAATATTGTTTGTGATAAGCCCCTTTGTCCTATGTTGTCATATCTCAGTGATATAGTGATAGATGCAGAAAATAATGTACTTTATAAAAATAATAATATTCGCTTCACGTTTGTGTCCACTGCCTGGCAGTGAATACTGTATAGTGATAATGACTTTGCTCCTCTGTCTTATATTATTACCACTCATATCTTAGTATTGTATTACTAATGGTCAATTCAGACCGTAATCTCCCATCATAAACCATGGTCACTTTGAGGTCAGCCTAACACAGCGACCATTGTGAGATGCTCTAAATTTGATAACGTTTCCATCAAGATGATCTCATTATAATTTTGGACATAATAATTCCTGGTTCGTATCTGTGTTCATGTCGTAAATGCAGTGGGAAGTTTAATATAAATCAAGGAATCATTGTTTTGACACATGTTATCAGCATCGGTCATAAAAAGGTCACAGTGTTGGTGCTGGTCACCGAGCACACATCACGTCATTTATTACTGCTATAAACATTCTGACATCTTCATCACGTTACGAATTGTGCCGTATCATTCATGAATAGAAGACCCCGTATTCTATAGGTGTAGCTGATCTTTATTCCGCGAAAAACAACAATGAAACAAGCATTGTTTGTGTATAATATTGCTCGGAATTCAACTTCAGTCTGTATCAGTAAACTGTATACCACACCATTACATGGATATATGTCAGAGTATGTATACGTGTGATTCTTTCGACATAAACAACAAGATTTTATCACAGTTTTACACTTTTAGAGAAACAATACAAAATTAAATGAAAACTGTTCGGGATTTAACTAACTGCCAGGTAAAAGCAAGTATACACCAATGTTTGACTAAACATAAATCAAACAAGAAATGGTTATTCGAGGGTGATGTATTTGATACAGGTATCACAGTTGTGTTTTGGACCTTCTGTTTGCAGAGTTTCGGTGACTGTTTTCAGCCCTGTAACGTTTTCATAACGTTTATAATTTTTTGGGGAAAAAGTGTATTTTTTTAGTGTATAATCTCTTTTGCCCGGCAATTAATACTAAACACAAAATATCTTTTGACATGTTGTATTATTATCTCATTATCATAAGAAGAAGAAGAAGAAGATTTATATCATAGTGTCACCCGCTGTACATATAAAATGACAAGGCGAGAATGTTAAAGCTAAGCGGCCGGCCATAATGGCCTACGAGACACATTCATTCACATTCATATAATCCCCCGTACAAGCATAAGGTATAAAATTGCAAGCATAGATGAACACTCAAAATGGATAGTTTCATTTAAAGATAGCGATAAAATTACATCGTTTTTATTTCAATGCACAATACCTACTAAACGCGGTGTTATTTATTAATCATTCACACAAGCACTAAATAACATGTTATACAACGAATTATTGTTTCAGATAGCTCCCTTCGACATAATCTTATCTATATTTACAGAATACATCGACTTTATTTGCGTAATGAGCATTGTAATTTCCTTGATACTTGATCATAAGAAAACTTGATGTCAGAAATAATTGCTTGATGTTTCAGCACTTTGTTTTGTGTGATTATTAATCAAGCTATCGTGAGTTTGTGTAAAGGTAATTGAATGACGATCACTGTCACAGCTGGAGAGGGAATATTCAGATAAAATGAGGATTTGTCATGATAAGGCAATCATGTTTGCAAAAATGTCGAAAAAACAACTTATTTCAGTTGCTAAAATTAATTGACACGTTGTTTGTTTTACATTATCCAGAAGGAAAAACAAACCTCAACTTCTATTCTCCTTTTGGCAGTGTTTGTACACGGTGGCAACCTTTAGAGACAATCATTAGAAGAAATATTTGGAATATACGATTTCCTTGTATGTCACGTGCTGTAATAAATGTTTTGAATGATCGATTGATAATTAATCTACAGTAGTGGGTTATAATTACAAAATCGTGCATCACATGCTTCTTACGAAAACATTTAACCACTTTCAACGTTAGAGCAGGATATGACCCATGTTGCCCAGTCTACAGTGTTATTGGTAGACATGTGGTCTTTATTCTGTACACCCTTTCCCCATACGGTGGCCGTCTGAACTCTGTCGGTAGAAGAAACATGTTTTGACAGAGAATCAAACTGGTAACATGTGGTATACGAAGTCCCTAAGTTGTATCCCCTAATGAAGCATTGAAATGGGGGGTAAATTAACGTTATGCGGGGA